ATGGGGAGGGAGGGGGGTGTTGTAAGCATTTTTTGTTTACGGCGCTCGCAAGTGCATAAGGCCATATGAGCTTCCGGGACAAATTAAGTATTTTCAGTTTGGCAGGAATTAATTTTAAAATTTGCCTGAATGGAGGACAAAGTTTACTCTGATCGATTTTAGGACAACCAAAGCATCTTTAACGTGCGCAAGTTGCACAGGGACCTCCAAGATTTCTTCACCCTTATCTGAGAAGGCTGAGTGCTGACCCTTACCTATCTTAAGATCAGGAGTGTGGGTGAAAGACAACAGTGAAAAGAAGCCAAGGAGTAGCAAAAGAAAGACTGCAAAAGGATGGAGAGGGCGTGGGGAGGGGGTGGAGGGGCAGAAAATGGAGATGCAAACAGACGACAGAACATCGTGATAGAGTAGGAAAGAGCCGCCTAACCTTTACACATACAAGGAAACCCAGAATAAAAACGACCTTTACGAAAGAAAAAAACCCCCAAAAACCCTGAACCGCTGCGAAAGTGACGCCAAACGACCCCTCCTCACCCTTTGGTTCGGCCACGCCTTTCCTTTTGCCAGACTCCCCCAGGTGTCTCTGATGGCCTGTCTCTGAGCGGCGTGTTTGTGCAATGTCAGAACAGTGACCACTACCAGAGGACTGGCGTCGTCTGCGCATGTCCGGCCGGCCACCAGGTAGTAGCTAGAGTCCAGTTGCCATTGCTTTGTCTTCCGCGGTGTGAAGGCAGACATCTGATTCGTCAGCTCGGGCCGCCCATAAAACCGCTTGACCACGTGTTGGACCAGCTGGCTGTACTGAGAAGGGTTAGTCTGAAAAGCAGAGGTTGTCGTTGTCGTCATCACCATCACCATCACCATCATCATCATCATCATCATCATCATCATCATCATCATCATCATCATCATCATCATCATCATCATCACCATCCTCCACAGTCTGCGGAAGCTGAGAATGTTTCTGGGTGTTCTCAGAGGGTCTGCTGGGGTAATAATAGTTGT